AATTCTTATAACTGTTGATTGTAAAATATTTTCTTTATTTGCTACATAATGAGAAGGATATCCTTCTTCAAGTAGTATATAAACCCGGGCTCTTTTTTCAACAGGTAAATATACCATGAATAGTTTAAAAAAAATTAATAACAGAGTAAACAATAAGGTACCTTTTTTATATGTACTACATGGTGTGTTTAGAAGAAAAAAAATTTTGTATATCTTGTTATGTTTATTTTTCAAAACGATCAAAAAAAATGCATCGCGGGTTCGGAACATTATTTTTATTTCTGAAAAAATTTCAAAACAAATAAAAAAAGATGATGCAGGGGATAAATATAAGGTTTGACAAAACTATTAATGAAGTATTGTAGCACTGTGTTCCCAGAATCACAAGATATTAAAATTTTAAAAAATTTGTTCAGGTGATGCAATACTTTGATCGCCACTGTAATAATGAAGTAATCGTTTTGTAAAATTTTACAGCTTAGTTATATTGACTTCAAATTGTAGGTCTTTTTTCGTCTTCTCTCTCTCATTCTGGATGAAGTAAATTTTTTAGAATTTTACTATTATTATTTTAATTAATTATTATTGTTGAGATATTTTGAAGGTCTAGGATGTTTTACTGATCCGCATATCATTAAAAGTATTTTAGGGTATTCTTCATAGTCATGCTAATTGTCGTTCATGCATTTGCAATTATAATAAATAATGAATTCTGTTTTCATTATTTAAAATATTCCATTTTGTTATTATAATCATGTTCAGTTTAATTCTTAATATAACAGTTTGTCAGATTGTTGATTGTCTTCCCGACTTGATAATTATTCCTCGTCATTAGAAGCTGTATTCTTTTGGATTAATGGACGATGGGATCAATTAGATCGGATAGTTATGCTGTACACATAATTCTTATGCCAGGAAGTGCTAATTTCAAAAATATGTTGATTGCATTTATGAAGTACGTATATTATTTAATATTATTATAAACCATAAACTGTGTTCATTATATAAACGTTCTTTAAAAGTTTAAAATTTGCAAAAGTTTTTTGGATTATATTTTTATTTCTCTTGATTTCTCTAATTCTATGGTGATGCATTTGATAAAGCAAATAAATAAAGTTCTCCAGCTCATAGACGTCGTGCTAAAATTATCGTCGAATATGAAGCTTTAGAAAACCTTTGCATACCTATCCTGATATGATTGATACTTGGCTTAAAGAAACTAAAAAGATGAGAAACAAATATTACGTCTTATGGACAAGAATTCAGCTGATTATGACTATAGCGATGATGACGGTGACAATGACTATGATAATAAAAGTACGTTTTTAATCCTAACGTGAATTAAGTTTATTTAAATTTAATTTAAATTTATTAAAATTTATTATAATTTATCCAGTGCAAAAAATATCGACATATACAAAATAAAGGTCCTTCGAGTAAAATAGTACAATTAAATATACAGTAAAGATACAATTAATAAAATTCGAACAAATTACAAAGAAATTGGAAATCAACAATAAATCGTTAAAGAATGTCAGCTATAATAAATCAAGCAGCGAACCTTTATCTGGAGATCAAGTCCTACTACAAACGTTGGTGATTAATTTACGATGCAAGAAAGATTGATTAATTAGAACAAAATTTAAAAACCATGTTAAAAACTTTAAATAATCCCAAAGAGGGTGTTTAGAAGAAATTTTATTAATTCGCCAAAAAAAGGAAACGTTTTAATTTAAGGCTCAAACAGATGCGAATCCGACTACACGAGTAGTTTATAATCTTTGCATCTTTACGTAAGGATATCATAAGATTATTATTATTCTATACTTCGTGTTCGTGAAATTACGGGCTGTAACACTTTGGCATTGTCCAAATTTATATTTTGTAACATTGTTCAAATTTATATTTTGTTACATTGTTCAAATTTAAATTTTGTAACACTGTTCAAATTTCATTGGTCAAATTCATACTTTGTATTCATATTAAAAGCCATTCATCTTAAAAATAGCCGAATATTACTTTTTTTAAAAAATAAAATTTCTTATAAAATAAAATTGGTTTAAAATTCATTATACAAAAAAAAAAGAACGAAAAATTTTGTTGGCGAAACGAAAATCACAAAAAGAATAAATATTATGTCAATTAATTTTATGAAGTATTTTGCTTTACTTTTATTCATAGTGTTAGCTTTATTAACATCTACAAGTCAATCAACTACTTGGACTACTACTTCTAGAACTATTACTATCACAACAAACCCTACTGGTAGTATGAAGCCATAAGATGAAACGAATGATATTTATGATAAATTTACAAATTCTCAAACCAATTCTACAATTATTCCATTTTTTACTTAATCAGATCCGGATATTCCATCACAAACAAAAACCATCTCTAGCATTACTTGTAGCTCGTGCAAAGTTGATACTTCAGTGTAGTCTTTTTTAGTCTTATGTTTTAAATTCATGCGTTATCTTGATTTGTGTTTAGATTATTAAATTATTTCTTATTTTCTATACAAAATTCATAGTGATACCAAATTCCAAGATTTTATTGTTACACCAGCTACTTCAAATTCAGAACCGGATAGTATTTTCCCCACTATCACTCCATCTACTTTTGAAATTGGTTCTAATAAAATAATATCATACAAGACTACCACTTTCTTTAGTGCAATCACGATAATACGTCCAGGATATACAACAACTTTTTTAACAACTCAATATATGATAATAGCTTCAACTGAAGTTTACATTCCTCCAAGTACCGTGGTTGTCAGTAAAGAAGTTACTGCAACTATTCCTTATGTTTATACTTCTACTCCTACTGTTACTCCTACTGATACTCCTTATTTAATTCCTCGAAAGCTTTCAAAATTATTACTGATTGGACTTGGAACAGGAATTGGTGTAGTGGTTTTGATCTGTATTGCAATTTTTGTTTATTATAAAAAAAGAAAAAGAAATAGACTTTTATAGACACGTGACAATGTTATAGATCAATTAATTTAAATACATGGAAAGACAAATTAAATCTTATAATTGTCTATTAAACGAAGAAAGATTCATTTAATAAATGGTGGCAGATAAATGTTAGAGATCAATTAATTATTAAATATATGAAAAGATAGGTTAAATTGTATGATTATCTGTTTGGCAATGCTTTTGTTTTGTTTACACGACACGATTTTGTCAAAGAAATTAGGAGTCAAACAAATTATTAAAGAATGACAGTTATAATAAACCTTTATCCGAAGATCCAGGTACTACTGTAGATTGACACAAATAATGAATGATTCTTGAAGAATGAATTAAGTGAAAGTGAGGGTGGTAGAATAAAAGATTATTGGTTGGATAATATTTTGGAAATTTTCTGTTGAATGAATTAATAATAATAAAATTGTCCACGAAAATTGATTTCCAAAAATTGCGAATTTTCATATACACAATGTCACTTTCAATCTTTAATGCAAATTATATTGATATTTTATTGTACCAATTTTTTCTGTATTATTACAATAATTTAAATTTCAATATATAAATTACCAATACAAATAAAAAGCAAATATTGAGAATACAAACCTTTTATTTTTTTTATTTTTTTTTAAAACCAACGGAAGAATACAACCTTTTATACAAAAACAAAATGCATTATTAATTTAACAATTATTCATCAATGTAAAGTGCCTTAATTGCTGTTACTGATATAAAAACGAAATTTAAATAATATTACGTTGGTTACAAATTTGTTTATATGAATTCTCAGCCAAGAATAAAAAATGACGATTGTTTCAGAAAACAATGTAAGCACAATATATAAAAAATATTTTTTTTTCTTTTAATAATTAATTTCAATACCACTTTTGAATATTAAAGCTTTATTAACAATTAAAATTCAGTACATCCAGGTGAAATATACCCCAATAAATAATTCAATAAATAATATTTTTCAGGGAATGAACTTGCTGAATTTAAATCTTTAAATAAAACCCAATTAATCAAGAGATTTAATATGGAATCAATCCTATAATAATGATAAATACTTTGGAGGTTTTTAAGAAAAATCACTCCTTAACTGAATAAAAACAAAACAAACCACTCTTTGGTTGTCATGTCTGCTGTCTCTTTAGCTATTACACCTGTTGTTCCCTCTGTGTCTTTGGTCATTATGGCTTCTGCTCCTTCAGTTGTAACATCAATATCAAATCTCAAATTAGACGAAAAATGGAGTCTTCTTTTTGATAGAAACTGTTCTTTGGAGATTCCAATAGAGGATTTTGATGATAATTGGTGGCCATTAGTTTTGAATATTTGGATGCAATGGGATTCGTATAAATATGCAAATGGTGATACTTGAAAAACTTTCACCTGTTGTTTTATGAAACACCAGGAATCAAGTACTTAACAAAAGAAAAATGTTCCAAATGAAAAATGTAGAACAAACAAAATATGGCCATCTGATCTATGTCTTGCAAAAATTAACGTTTCTTGAAAAGTTTCTTCAATGGTGTTTCAAGTAGAATGATATAATAACTCCTCTAGCTACATACATTCTTTAATAGAAGTCAATAGGATAAAATGATCAAAAGCTGTCAGAAGTTTAGTTGAGAAAGAAACTGTCAAAAATTATTTCCCTCCATCAATTACAGCCACTGTCAAAGAATATGCAACAGTAAAGTTAGACCTTGATGAATGTGTATACGAGCTGAAATGTAAAGAAGTAACAAACATTAAATATAAAGTTCATGGACCTATGGAAGTTCACCTTATTGGAAATTCAAATTTAAAATTAGATATCTCAGAATCCATTTCTTATTTAATGGAACAGAGGTATCTTATTGAAAATTATCATGTCCCTTAATGGTTTACTAATGGTATTGTGTTTGCACATCTGGAGTAACTAAAGAAACTTTAATGTCATGGGTAATTATCGCTTATAGATTTAACACATAAGATCAACTGGTATAACTGGCATTGTTACAAAATGAAATTATCATGATTGAAAATTATAGTATATAATATCAAAAACACTTACAAATAGTTAACAATAGCTTTAAAAATAGTAGTGTTTAAAGTTTAATTAGTAAACATTAATTCAGTTAACAAATAGTGATATTTTAATAATTTTTCAACTAATATTTATATCCAATAACACATATTAATCATGAGATAGTAGTACAAGATCACGTTTTAACGTGATATTTGTAGTACAAACATATACTTCCGACCCAAAAGTTTAGAACCACCTGATAAATTATTGAAAATCGTGATTATTTTGTCAACTAATCATTTTATTGCAATAAATTATTTAATAATATTTTCCATATACATTTTTAATATCTTTATTTATATTTAAAAAAATATATTCTGTAAACTTTGGAATAGTTTAATATAGACTATTTTTTTGATGATTTTTTAATAAAATTTAATTAATTATTTTTAAATTTATTAAAAAAAAATTTTACATAGCAAAAAATCTAATTTTTTTTATTAAAAATTCATGTTCTAAACAATAAAATAAAAAAAAATTCAACTCTAAATTTTCAAAAATAAATAAATTAAAAATTATTAAAGTTTCTAATAAAAAAATCTTATTTTTTTTAAAAAAAAAAATAGTTAAAAAATTAATTTATTATACTTACATTTGTAAAAACCTGATAAAAATCAATTAATATCTAATAAAATAGTCATGAGATTTCATTTTGACCTTTACTCTGTTTTCCGTGCTGTTAACTAATTTTTGATAAACCTCACATTTGATTTGTGATCAAGATTCCTGTAAAAACATTTCCAATTCTCGCAAATTTTTTGGATTTTCTTTTTTAATTCGAATATGGTGTTCAAGTTCATCCCATAAGTGTTCAATTGGGTTTAAGTCAGGTAACTGTTCTGATCATGGAAGAAGAGAAATTTTCATTTGTTGCATATAATTTTGTGTTGCTACACTAGTATAAATTGGTATGTTATCTTGTTGAAAAAAATATTTCCCATTTTTCTCTTCAAATTCTTCCAAAAATAGTATCAAATAATAACCAATAATTTCTTCTATATATCTATTACTATTAATTCACCCATCAATTCTTGTTAAAGGACCTAATCCATACCAAGAAAAACACCCCACATCATGACCCCTCTAACACCATGCTTTATAGTTGGAATAAGATAATTAATGTCATATTTTTCTTTGGAAATTGCCATACATGAATTTTGCTATCATTTCTAAATAATATAAATCATGATTTGACACTTCAAACTTCTTTTTTCCAATTATTGATTGTTCATAATTGTCTTTCATGTGTCCAATTTAAATGAATTATTCTATTAGTTTCACTGATATTGGATTTTCTAAGAGCTGTTCGACTATGATATTCCATTTCATATAATGTACACTTTAGGATATTCTTACTTACTTCATTTCCAATATGTTCATTAAATTTTTCTTGTAACTGTTTTGATGATTTATGTCAATTTTTGAGAACAACTGCCTTATGATGAAGCATGTCACATTCAGTTAATTTTTTTGATTATCTACTTCTGGAAGCAACAGAAATAATACCTTTTTCACAAAACTTAATTATAATATTATGAACAGTAGTCTTTTCATACCCAGTTTTTTTTTGAAATTGTTCTTTCTAAGTCACTTGCAAAATAAAAACTGATAACTTTTCCATGTTCAAAATCTGTTAACTCTTTTTTTTAACCATTTTACAAAAACAAAAAACTACAAAACAAAATACCATTCGCGTTAATCATTATTGATGATCAGGTAACACAAATATATTTTTTATTTATTTTATTTTAAGCTACACGATTGTATAATTTTAATTTTATTAAATTACAGGGGTGTTCCTAAACTTTTGAGTCAGAAGTATAATTATTAATTATATCATTAATTATTATCATATATTATTATTTAATAATTATTAACATTTATTATCAATTAGCATTAAATATTTTTAGTAAATAATATGAAGAAATAGTAACTAATAGATATAGTATACAGTAAGGCATGGTCATGGCACAGTAGTGAAGATTATTAGAATCAAGTATAAAAAGTGATTGAATTTACCTTGCCCTTCTTTAGTTTACAATTTTATAATTTTGAATTTCTATAATTTGTAACTTATTTGAAATTAATAAATTTCTTTTATAATTTGTAACTCCAAGATAAACACTTGTAAAAATTACCTTGCAATTGGATTAATAAAATAATAAATATTTGAAATATAAAATAAAAATTATAAAAATAATTATTGAATATAAATTATAATAATTAATAAAGGAATAATGAATATTATAGGATTAAATACTTGACTGTATAATTGTATGATATTATTGTTCTTGAGTTAATGAAATTAATTACAAAATATTATTATAAATTCTGGACTTAGAATAATACTTAATCTAGATGAATGGAAGTAATATTCAACTATAGTAAAACTGAAAAACAATTAATGAATGGATGTTAATGCTAAAAGTAATGATGAACTTGAAAGATATTGAAATAAATTGGATGAAAGATCTGATTCCCTTTCTAAAATAATTGAATCAATAGTGCTTTCTATAACAATTGAACAACATTCTTGGAAAAGAACTATAAACTCCTTAAAAGACCATTAAATCACTTCACTGGTTTGACCTCAAAGAACTAGAAACTATTGGTAACAGTGTCTATTCACTTTTTATATCTGTGACACTTATTGACACTGGGATGTGGGTAATTATTTTTTTGTAAGTAGTGAGGATGGAGATACAGTTATACTTGCATGCAAAATTATTTTGAAATCCCGAAATTGCAATTTCAGAAAAAAAGTTGAAATAGTTTTTCATAGAAGACAAAATTATTTTACTTAAAATCCGAAATTTTTGACCACCCAGATTTATTCTTTGATTAAAGATACATATAACTGAATACTTTTTTTAATTCCATATATAGAATAGATTCTGCATAAATCTCAAAAAGTCAAAATACCTCAAAAATTCAAAATAAATTTTGGAAACATGTATAAATACAGTCATGGAAACATTAATAATAATCAAAAATAAGTCTTGTTATTAGTTTCCTGTTATATACTTTCAGATCATAGTAATTTTGAGGCTAAGGATATTAAAAAGCCTTTCCTGGTATAATAGCTGGTGAGCAAGAATATTAAATACTCCTTTGTTTCATCCATGTTATAAGAACATGGATGCAAAAAATTTGTGAAAAAAAAAACTCAGAATGATATGATTGTAGTAATGCATAAAAGAACAAAAATTGGTTGTAAAAGTCTTGTTCAGGATACTATTAATCATTGTTCTGTTCCTGTTTTACAAAATTATATTAAAAGGAACTGCATGAAAAATATGTAGCAATGGGGTTTATGGGCCTATCAACATTTCCCTCTACTTTTACAAGTCACATCTGCAAATCTGTTAGAATCTTTTCATAGTGAATTAAAGAGAATAACATTCTCATTACATGGTTTAATCAGTACATAATGATTTTTTTATTTATTTTATCCCATCTCATTTTGTATTTAATTTTTTATGTTTTATTTTTTCTTTTATTATTTTAGATACCACTCATAACATTGTCAATGTTGATTACAAAAAGATATCTGAATCTGAAACTGGTACTTTCAACTTTCATATCAAAAAAGTGTTTATATATGGTGTTGATAATAGTATTCTTGAGGAAATCCATAAATTCTCCTTTCCATTTCAAAATCTAATTATTAAAGAGGCCTGTGCTGTAATGTGTAGAATTGAAAAAGGAAAAGAGTGCTGGGTTTAACTTCTCTTGATTGTCACCACTTGTTTTACAATTGATATTTACTATCAACAAACATATTTTTCATGAACACTTGTACAGTAATAAATTATCAACAGGTGATGTATGGAGAATGTTTTAGGAAATGTTTGAAAAAAGCAGATTTGAGGTATATGAAAGTCGTGAGTCATTTATTGTAGAATGTGGTGTGAAAACAGAACAGTAAAAAAGTGCTAAAAATTGAAGACTTGCTATAGCTGAATTAACTGAAAGAGTGTGTGATAGGTACTGGAGTGTTGAAGAGACAGGTAATATTGTGAGAACAGAGACTTTTGTCTCTATATTAGAAGTCTCCTTGAATCTGATTATATTGCAATTTGATCAATCAAAAGGAAAAAATCAAAGTTATCAGTAT